TTGATTGAAATTATTTTTATTATTTCAATGAAATGAGTTGAAGAATTAAATTTTGAAAAAATATATATATATATTTAAATATATCGATGAAAAGAGATGAATATCATTCAGTATTTGATTGAAATTATTTTTATTATTTCAATGAAATGAGTTGAAGAATTAAATTTTGAAAATATATATATATTTAAATATATCGATGAAAAGAGATGAATATCATTCAGTATTTGATAATAGTAAATTTCAGAGATGTACTTGTCAACAGCTTACTTTCGAGAATATTATACATAATTTTACACAGCAAACTACAGTTGCAAAAAATATTAATAATGTTGAAGTAAGTTTTGTTATTACAAAAAATTATTTCTATAATTTTATAATTGATATTTGCTATAAGTATAAGTATATTTGTGAGAAATTTTATGTGCGTTTAAGGAACATTTTAATATTTTTCATTATTTTTTTAGTTTCAAAATATTAGGGAATAATTAATTTATGCTTATATGCTTATAATTTATGCTTATTTATGCTTAATACTTATGCTTATTTATTTTTTTCATTCATTATCACTCTATAGCAGTTTATTTTTATACTTTCCATTTGTTTATTTCAGATATTTCTATTCTTGGATAGAATTTTGAAGAAATTGTTTAGAATTTAGTGAAATTGTTTAGAGCTTTTAAAACTTAATCATTTGATACTTCTTTATTCTCTTTTCTTTTCTTTTTCTTTTTTTATTAGAAATAATTAATTTTAAATTTCTTTTTTTTTTTAGCACAGCCGACAATCGATAACTAGAAAGAGCTCGGAAAGAAGTACAAGATCAGAGATTATCGAATTTCTCGTAAAATATGGCTTATCATATAGCTTAACTGTATGTTTATTTAATCAATTCTTAATTGATAAAATTTAATTTTGGCAAAATTATTTTCATAATTTTAAAATAGTCCAGTATTTAAATGATATATTATTTTTTAATTTTTTCAAAATTTGATTGGTAAACTATTGTAATTTTCATTTTTTTGATATAATTTTAAGGAAGCAAAAATTGAAATTGCTGAATAATTTTACTAATTTTTTTTTTTTTTTTTTGTGGAAAGTAAAAGTAAGAAATTAATTTCTTACTTAAATAATTTCTTACTTTTAATATTATGTCGTACAATTTAGCCATATTTGGGTGATATTCGTACGAAATGTTTACATTGCAATTCATTGGATACAGCATGCATTTCATTTCGTGATACTAGTATACTATGCACTACATGTGGTAATACAACTACATTTGATGTTTACAAGGTATATTTTTCATTTTTGTTTCATTTTTAATTCTATTAATTTGCATATATTATTCGTTAACCTTAAATGAATTTTAAATTAGTATTTTACAAATTGAAATTTGTAAATTTCTTCATTTTTGTATTAAAATATTAAAAGAATTTGTTACTATTTTCTTGGAATATGATAATAAAGAAAAAAGAATTATTTACTTTTTCAATAATTTACTAACAGAATTTATTTATTTATTTTTTTTTTTTTTTTATATCAAATAGAAAAATATACAAAGTAAAGGGCGTACATTCTGAAATGATCTTCTTCTTTTTCTATTGCATTTTTTTTTTTTTTTTTTTTTTTTAAAGGTAAGAAAAGAAGAAGTAATAATGTTTCAATAAATATTCTAAAAATCTCTTTCAAGATGCAAAAAAAAGAAAGAAGGAAAAAAAACAGCAAAATTTGATTAAAATTAATTAAATGAACATTCTAAACATTCTATATTGTTTAATTTATTATATTCCCTGAAAATATATATAAAATACAAATTCTCTATTGATATAAAATGCACTTAAATAATCATAGAATTTAGTTTTTTTTTTTTTTTTTTTGGAATGAAATTGAAGCTCATAAATATGAACTGATTGCATCCATTATGGAAAAAAAAAAGAGGAAAAAAGGAAATATTTGGTCCAAAAGAAAGGACACAATTATATGATTTGAACATGAATTGACCAAAAACTATAATAATGCTATATAGGATGTTATTAATCAATTAGCAGTCGATAAAATATGCTGGTTTTGCTCTTTTTGCACCTAAATTATAATTTTAAAAACATTTTAAAAAACAAAAATAGAAAAAAAAAAAGGAAAGAAAAATCAATAATATGATGATGATGATGATAATGTGATGATGATAATGATGATGATGATGGTGATGATGTGATGATGATAATGATGGTGATGATAATGTGATGATGATAATGATGATGATGATGATGATGATGTAATGATGGTGACGATGATGATGATGATAATGATGATGATGGTGATGGTGATGATGATGATGTGATGATGATAATGTGATGATGATAGTGATGATGATGTAATGATGGTGATGATGATGATGATGATGATGATGATGATGGTGATGATGATGATGATGGTGATGATGATGATGATGGTGATGATGATAATGTGATCATGATGATGATGGTGATGATGATGATGATGG